AAACAGGATATAGGAGCAAAGTTTTATTTTTCTTGTTTTGTAAACTACAGAAAATCCAGGTTCCCATCTCCTAGAACTGGAAGGGACCTTGAAAGGTCGAGTCCAGCCCCCTGCCTTCACTAGCAGGACCAAGTACTGATTTTGCCCCAGATCCCTAAGTGGCCCCCTCAAGGATTGAACTCACAACCCTGGGTTTAGCAGGCCAATGCTCAAACCACTGAGCTATCCCTCCTTGTGGGGAAAACGTTTAGCACTGTTTGCTCTCCTTGGGTTTGTGTCAGTGTTACTAAAACGGAATTGGGACCATGAAGTTAAGATGCAGAAGACATTAGGTTCAGCCCCCCCAATTTACAGCCACTAATATTAATAGGGCACTGAGTTTTTACCCTAAAATACAATCTGCCTTAAAAGCTGTTTGTTGACTCAGGGGACTACTCCCCTGTAGATCATTTGTTCAGATCTGGCCCAGGTTGAATGGCCCTGTGTCAAATAAATTCTGGTCTCAGGCTAGTTGCTACTGAACGGACTTCCATGTCACAAAAATGACCATCACATTTAGCACAAATTAAAATCTTGCTGGCCCTTTTGAGATGGCCTAGGACTGAGTAGGCAGTAGAGACTGAGAGATACCCTCTCTTCCCCTTGGAACAGTCTTGTTCCGGAGGGGCTGACTTAGTAATAGGAGAAATATACTGGCAGTTCTCCTGACCAAGGATTTCATTTGAAGGGGTATTGACAAAGATTTTCAGGTATATAATTTGACGTTTAAATTCTCAGCATGAAAAATCTTCTGAAGTCTATAATATGAATATGATCATTTACGCGTCACTGAAGAACAAAAATAAATCCACACTTTCCTCTTCTGGAAAGTCAACAAAAATCTTTTGTGCTTACTCCTGCTGGCCCTGGAGCAGCAAGTTTGTTCTCAGAGAGGTGCCAACCTTGCCCAAGGATGCAGGCCAACAAACCAAGATGAGTGGGCAAGGTAAAATGAAGGTGTTTGACTAGAATTGAGGTATTGCCTTGATGCCAATGCTAGTATCTTGGGGGAGGTCTGCTGCACAGCTGCAGGGGAGAAGAGGCAATCCCAGTGTCAGGCTGGCCTCAGGAGTGATAATGCAGTGGCACAATGATTATGGATGCTTTTTAAAACCAAATTAATTTCAGCTATTCGAACCTGGGTGAAAAACGTTAGAGTGGGGAGCTGGTAAGGAATTCTTACTTTTAAGCTTCTGAGAGGATATGCTAGGTAATGGGGAGTTTGAAACTATTTGTGATCAGCATCCATTAGAATAGGCTCCTGGATACTTTGCAAAACTTCATCACAAATAAGTTTTTGTCTCAGTAAAGATGAGCAATTAGGTTGGGAGCTGAAGTGCAGAGTCCAGAATAGTGCAGTCCTTAGCCAAAAAGTGATGAGACGAAATATTTCTTCTTCCTTTACAAAGTTAGTTCTTTAGACTGCTCCAGAGCCATTAATTTTGCTTATTGTAAATTTGTCTGCTACAGAAACTGGATGGCTTCTACAGTGAGTGTGAACTTGGATAAAGACGCGTCATTGGATGGAATACCACCTGCAAAAAAGCCCAGGTAAACTTACGTGTACTACGTTGACATTGAAATATTAGTAAGAGGCAAATGAGAACTTTTTTTTCCATGACCCTGCTTTCATTTTAGAAAGGGGTGTGACATCTGGCACTAAGACTCCGTGATCTTTCCAATGCTTGTCTGACAACGTATGCTGTCTTCAACAATCCATTATAACCACTGTTCTCTTGTCTGTGTGGATAAAAATCTGTTTCTTGGGGGGGGGATCAGACATTTTATAAATTAAAATAAATCTGATTTATATCGAAAATATAATTACATTCTTTTTGAAACTAAACCTGTTTAAAATCTGAATTTAATACAAAATGTTAGTCTACTTATTATAATCTCTAAACATTTAGATAAAAAATAAATATACTGACTCCATGAGCCTCTATCAAAACTTGAGTGAAAGGCTGCTTATCTATATAAAGGAGGACTCGGGGGAGGGGGTTGGAATCTAACTGTGGAGGTAAAGCTTTATAAATATGGAACAATAGCTCTTGTACTGTATTAAAGGCTTGATCCTGTGAGAGACCCAGGGGCTATGCTACTGGGTGCAAGAGACTGGGGAAGTTATCACAGATGTAGGGACCTGACCTCTGACTTCAGGAGACATCATCATATAGCTCAGTGGTTCTCAAACTTTTGTACTGGTGACCCCTTTCACATAGCACACCTGAGTGCGGACTCGCTCCTCCCTCCCCCCAATACATTAAAAACACTTTTTTAAAATATATTTAACACCATTATAAATGCTGGAGGCAAAGCGGGGTTTGGGGTGGAGGTTGACAGCTCGCGACTCCCCCAAGTATAACCTCGCGACCCCCTAATGTAGCTCATTACTGGGTAGCAAAAATATGTACCAAATTGAGGCTTTCCACTTGGTGATTTAAGTTGCCTTGGTTTAATTCAGTCCATCCTGTTTCTTGTGATGCTTTAACCTGTAGGACAAGGGAGTTAAGATTAAGAAAATCCCCAGGAACTGTTCCCCTTCAAAGCAGAAAAGGGCATCTGCTTTGCTTCAGTTTCTGTAACTCCCTATCATGCTGGAGGATGCTTAGATATTAGCCAGAACTCAGTGTTCTCTCTGGGTTGGTTCTGTGGAAAAGTGTCTGTCTGAAGAGCTGTTGGAGGAAGTGTATTCAACTAACCTGACTTATTTATTGGCTGTGAGAAGGCAGGAGAGTGGGTGAAATAAAATTTAATTTAAATAACAATAAAAATATCCAGGTCTTTAACTCTGTGGGGGGGGGGGAACATTTTTGTTTTTCCTCCACCCTGCTGAATTTTAAAATGAACAGAGGAAGCTGGGAGTGTAGGCTGGCTTGGTAGGAATGCAATGATAGAAATGCCTACTGCTTATCAGTGTGGGAACTGAATCTCTTTCCTGAGCTGTTATTGCTTAGAATCGTCACTTTGTTTGGCTCATGCTCTGATACTCAGGATTTCAACCAACAGGATTCTGAAAATATAACAAGGCCTGGTTAACATTTCACTCCCATATTATTAGGGAAAGCTTGTTTCTTTTGTAGATGATGGGGGAGAATTGGGGTTCAGAATTAATCCCCTGAATTTTCTGAATAAACCGAATAGAGCCAGATTTGCAATAGCAACCATTCACACATACTGCACAAATCAAAGGATCAAACAGTTGTTTTCTCAAATGGCAGCTGGCAGATGGGACTGTGCGGATCTCTAACGAGCTTTCAGGCCAATCTACTGCTGTACCCCCACAACTTGATACAGAACCTGCATTGAGACATAGGCACTGACTATGGGAATGTCTACACTGCAAAACCCAAAACCCCGCTGCAGCAAGTCTCCGAGCCTGGATCAGCCAACTTGGGCCTGCGCTACTGAGCTAAAAATTGCAGTGTAGATGTTCCTGCTCATGCTCTGAGATCTGTTGAGGGGGGAGGCTCTCAGAGCCCGGGCTTGATCCCAAGCAGGAACGTCTGCACTGCTATTTTAAACGCCATAACCCAAGGCCGAGTTAGTTGGCCCGAGACTTGCTGTGGAGGGGGAGATTGCAGTGTAAACGTAACCTAGGTATCTCTGTATTTACTTCCCATCCTTGCCAAGTGTCAAGAGTTTACAGATTGTGGTCCTTTTGTATTTGGCCTGCTTCTCTTCGCTCATTCTCTCAGTATTACGTGAAACACTCTGGGCTCCCCTGCTGGGTAAACCCTGCTGTAGTTAGTGTGTAATCACCAGTGATGGTAATTCAATAGGGTGTTGATTAAAATATGACTTAAAACATAGTACAGGTACGCCGCCAGCAAAGTAAGGGTGGGCGGGCAGACAGTCCCTCTGTAAGACTCTGCGTGGTCCAAGCTTTGACTCTGCTCCTTTTCATGGCTCACCTAAAATCCAGCCATCCTTCTAACCTGCATTTCTAGATGGGGCCAATTGCCAGGATCTCTGCTGTCCTGCAACTACAGTTACTTGACTTGCTCTGCTTTAGAAATTGGCCAGGGTGATGGGGCATTTTGCCTTAACAGGGCTGGTAAAGGACCAAACTGTGAATATCTCATACCTATAGCTGGCTGTTACTGGCCTGTAGAACTGTGCATTGCCTTTTGAGGGAACTCTGTCACTTCCTGCATGCCAACCCCTTCAGCCTTGTCCATTGTCTCCTCCAAGTTCTGTGACCCGTGTGTGCATTTGGGACACTCATTTATGTCAGCACAAATGTGCTTCTCTCTTACCTCATTCCAGAAAACTGTTGCCAAGCCTTAAAACCAAAAAGCCCCAGGAACTTGTTCTGGTAATTGGGACAGGGATCAGTGCAGCAGTAGCTCCTAAAGTCCCAGCACTGAAGTCTTGGAAAGGGTTAATCCAGGCCCTGTTGGATGCTGCTATTGACTTTGATCTTCTTGAAGAGGAGGAGAGCAGAAAGTTTCAGAAATGTCTCCAAGAAGATAAGAACCTTGTTCATGTTGCCCATGACCTTATCCAGAAACTCTCTCCGGTGAGTGAGCACATGCAGCAGGATTCATCAACTTCAATGTGTAGAATGTGGCTTTGAGAGCAAGGGGGTGGCCAAGGATTCTCCCCAGACATTGCCCCCACTGGGCCTGGCTGGACCTTCCAGTCAAAGCTGGGTATTGCTCCCTCTGAAACCCATCCAGTGGTCCTGGGCCTGTCCTTGGGACAACCTCAGGTTTGAGAGAGTTGCATGAAGTGGCTGCTCCCACCACTTAGTGTGCCAGGATCAAGGCACCAAACCAGTCTGGCTGGGATCAGTGAGATGGCTCCTCGGTCATATTAGCTTGATGGCTGTGGCCCAGAATGTCATGATGCTGGGGGCTCAGATGCCAGTTTGTCTGTGGAGATCAACTTGCTCTGTACGCTGTTTCCTTACATAGCTGTATTGCAGAAAGTACCTGCTCCCTTAGCAGCCTATTTTTGCACTGCGGGAGAGAGAGAATGTTTTTTCCTTAGTGATTTACGGATAAGCATGTTCTCAAAGGTGGTGCGGCTGGAGGGGGTAGCCCTGAGGATGTATTGTTTGGGGAAGAACGTGCTTCTGAATTACAGGTTTTGGGGAGGCCTGGCTGCCACTGGTCTTATTTCTGGGGTTGTGGGTTCAGATCCAACCTAAGGCCTTGTGCTCCTCCTTGCTGCTGCCACCAAAGGGCAGCACTAGAGGTGCTGCAGTTAAGTGTTCTATTTTGAATGATTCAATCTAGATCCCTTCTGCCTGCCTGCGTGTTCAGTAGACAGTAAAGATCCCACTGTACTTGAAGGAAAGAGCAGGGTGCCTTGCTTCTGGCTCTGAGCAATGAGTGTATTAGACATGCCTGGATGGGCAGATGATCAGTTTGGTGTCCTGGCCGACATTCCATCTCCGCTGTTAATGCAGCCTTGCGCTCTCTAACCTGAAAGCTCTTTCCTGATCACACAACTGCTGCTCTGTTTGCCTTACGCATAATCTGTGCCCCCCGCTAACTCATTGCTTGGCAAAGCGCTTGAGGCTTGTATATTGCCCTCGTCCCCAGTGTATGAAAAGTGCTACAAGAAATCAAATTCCCAACTCTGACTTTGGTTTGTTTGATTCCCTCCACAGCGCACTAGCAATGTCCGCTCCACATTTTTCAAAGACTGTTTATACGAGGTGTTTGATGACCTGGAGTCTAAAATGGAAGATTCTGGGAAACAGCTGCTTCAGTCTGTGCTTCGCTTAATGGAAAATGGAGCACTCGTATTAACCACGAACTTTGATAACCTGCTGGAACTATATGCAGCAGACCAAGGGAAACAGCTTGAATCTCTCGACCTTACTGATGAAAAAAAGGTAAAAAGTGTGTCAGCCAGGCTAATCATTCTGCTCTTTGTTCACACAAGTCGTAGGTCAGTGGTGGTAGAACATCCTGCACCTATGTGAAATGTCATGCTATTGACACTGACATCAATTCATAGTGGTAGATAAAATACACCAGGCTGGATCATCTTTAGTGTTGTCCGTTTAAGTGCCTCTGGGAGAGGGGTTGGTAAGAACAGTGCATCCTTCAAGTTCTATGTGTCCCAAATGTCGATCCTTAGAAATGCCGTGATTGCTGGCGGACATCCTTGTAACTCAGGAGAAGCCTCCAGGCATCTTTAACAGCTTTCGTACTGTTTTGTTCTGTTAGGACTCCTGGCTTTCAGCTGCCAATGTACTCCCAGCTTTATTTGACTCCAGGTGGGACTTGGCTTTAAGATTTTGAACTATGCAGGAAGCTATACATCCCAAACAAATCGGATCAGTCTTTTTAGATAAAACATTCCTTTTGGGGTACATTCTAGAATATATAATGCACACAGGGCCATAACCTTCAATTAACCCATCTACTTTTCTGTTTTTGTCTCCTTTCCTTCTCCCATCCACCATGTGGCTTCTTGTCGTCTTCCTGTAATCTCTACTTTCTTCCATGTAGCCCACCCCTTTTCCTGGACCCCATCCCTGATCCACTTTGCCATGTGTCAGAACTCTCCTCCAAGTCCCTCCTTGCTTCCCCCACAAGGTTTCTGATCCCTAGTTCTTCCCATGATGGATCAGTCACCCAATAGACAGAAAATCCTAACTTTATATTACTTTAACCAACAGCACAGTCTAAATTCCACCACTCAGTCACTTGGCGCTCTGCATCCTATTCCTGATCCTTACATTGTCAGGTTAGATCTTGGGCAAGAATCAGCTCTCCATACTGTCCATAAAGTGACAAGCATGCTGCAGGGGCTATAGAAATAGTGTGAGTAGTTAGTGATTTCCCCCCCCTGCCCCCCATTAGGACTAAGTAAAATATACCACAGTTCAATCACGTTTCTAAACTCCAGTCTCCGACATGACCTCCTAGTCCAGGGGTCGGCAACCTTTCAGAAGCGGTGTGCCAAGTCTTCATTTATTCACTCTAATTTTAAGGTTTTGTGTGCCAGTAATACATTTTAACATTTTTAGAAGGTCTTTCTATTAGTCTGTAATATATAGCCAAACTATTGTTGTATGTAAAGTAAATAAGGTTTTTAAAATGTTTAAGAAGCTTCATTTAAAATTAAATTAAAACGCAGAGCCCCCTGGACCAGTGGCCAGGACCTGGGCAGTGTGAATGCCACTGAAAATCGGCTCGCGTGCCGCCTTCGGCACACGTGCCATAGGTTGCCTACCCCTGTCCTAGTCTGTACTGTTGGATATATTTGCAATGATACAAATGTAGCATTCTCAGTCATCACAGGATTAAATAAGGAGATGAGGTGTATAGGAATGAATTTGCAAACATGGTTAGAAACTATGAAAATGTGATAAGGATTTTTTGTTGTGGCATACAAAGGCTAAACTGCTAAGCTTTCTCAAAACTGTTTTGAGTCTAGATTGGAAATAGAATAAACTTGTAGATTTAAGAGAAATGCACATTAAAATAATGTCAGCTTGTTTTATCCTTTCCTTGCTGAGTTCTGAGTCAGGATTCCACCTCTTCCTATCAACAGTGGGTGACCAGGACAAACAACTGAACCTCTGGTGCAAATGAGCATTGTGGCACCATTTTAGTCTGAGGTATGACAAGCTGTATGCGGAACTCATGAGAGTAGGGACATGAAGGAGAAGCTAACTTTTCAAATAGACGGAAATTCAGTACGCTCCTGAAAAGCTACACGCTGTTAATAACGTGAAGCAATTACTGAAAAATGACGACTGCAAGACCTGCAGTGAGGAGCTTGGGAAGAGCATCTGGTTCCCCTATGGAGAAATGGCCCAAGCTGACCCTTGATGGGCTTTGGATAAGCACTGGCCTGCTGTGGTTGATGCCTTGAAGATGATTTGCGTTTTTTGTTTTCTTCACATGCACTGCGATGTCTCTGCCTCTCCTCCTCCTCCAGAGTTTCAGGAATGTTCCTTAACAGTTTAATTCCTGGAATGTGAGATTTGGCAAATGAAGACCTCAAGTAATGGCCCACTCTGCCCCCACTAACTTCTGTCTTGCCCAGGAACCCCAACGGATGGGCACTTCTTGCTGATATTCCCCAGGCTGTGTTTATTTTGTGCAGGTGCTGGAGTGGGCGCAAGAAAAAAGGAAGCTCAGTGTCTTGCATATCCATGGAGTTTACACAAACCCCAGTGGAATAGTGCTTCATCCAGCTGGGTATCAGAATGTGCTGCGCAATACAGAAGTTATGGTGAGCTTCAGCCTGCTTGTGCCCCCCCCAAGACACCTAAGCTGAGAATGCTTTGCTTATCTACGGTTTTGTGCTTGTTTGGCTTTTCCCTTCATCCTTTGGGGGTAATGGGGCTGGCTTTTCCAGCTAATATTTCTGGTTCAGATTTCATGGAGTTCAGAAATCTTGCCTTGAAAGGGGCAAGACTCAGACTGTATTGAGAGGTGGAGTGTTTCCATTTTCACTGTCACTTGTTGCTCATGGCAGACTTGGTGTTGACTTTCTGCTGATATGATAGTTACCCTGAGAGACTGAATCTTCTCTGCCTGGAGGTAGGATTGGTGGGATCAATGTTTTCTACCTCCTGGCAATTGCATGTAAATATCTATAGATCTTGTGTGTCGTTGAACACTGTCCTTAGTGTGACCTAAAATATATTTAGAATAGGATGTTCAGTTACAGGGTACAGAAACATCCAGAAATCCCCCTCTTGATCAAACTTCTCAGGCTACTAAAGCCGACCTTCCTAAATTCATTCCAGAAGAGGGGAAGAAAGCTAATGTGGTTTAAAAAGGGCAAACGGGATGACCTGGGTGATTATAGGCCTGTCAGTCAGACATTGATCCCAGGCAAGATAATGGAGCAGCTGATACAGGACTTGATTTAATAAAGAATTAAGATGGTAATTAATGCCAGTCAACATAGGTATATGGAAATGGATCCTGTCCAACTAACTTGTAACCTCATCAAAATATCAAGTTTGGTGGACGGAGGTAATAGTGTTGATGTAATATACTTAGACTTACGTAAGGCATTTGACTTGGTACTGCATGACATTTTCAGTAAACTAGTACTATATAAAACTAACATGGCACACATTAAGTGGATTAAAAGATGGCTAACTGATATGTCATTGTAACTGGGGAATTACGGTTCAGCAGAGGTTGGCTCTTGGCCCTACATTAGTAACATTTTTATTAATGACCGGGCAGAAAACAAAAATTTGCAATGACACACAAATTAGGGCATTAGTAAATAACTAAGAGGACAGGTCAGCGACACAGAGCAATCTTGAGCGCTTGGTAAGATGGGTGCAAGCACCGAATATGCATTTTAATGTGGCTAAATGTATACACCTGGGCACAAAGAAGGTAGGCCATACTTAGAGTCCCCCATCTTGTATCCTGGGAGTTTAGGGTGAATCTGTGTTTAGGATGAATGGATGAGTTGCCATGGGATAGTCCAGTTTATTGTTAGAGTTCCTAATTTAAATAATTGTAAGGAGCCTGGGATCTAAAAGCCAACTAGTGTGTAACTTGCACATTGGGCAGGTTTTATTGCAGCCTTCACAAACTGCTAAGATTTATTTATTTTTTTTTTTTAAGGGGGTAGATCCAGAAGTTGTATGAAAACAAATCATTCTTGTTCCTGGGCTGTGGCAGGACTGTTGATGACACCACGTTTCAGGCCCTTTTCCTAGAAGCTGTGAAGCACAAGTCGGACCTGGAACACTTCATGCTTGTGCAGAGGGGAGACGTGGATGAGTTTAAGAAGCTCCGTGAAAACATGCTGGATAAAGGGATTAAAGTCATTTCATATGGAAATGAATACGCAGACTTACCTGACTACTTTGAGAGGCTAACAAGTGAGATCTCCGCGCGGGATCGAACAGGTACATGGAGTGATGGGCTCTGTGGTGAATAGTAACGCACCACACCCTGGCATGCATCACCTCATCTCTCCAAGCCACTTCAGCAAGGGCTTCTGTGTTTAAATATGATAGTTTAGCAAGCTCTGAGGGGTTTTTTTATAATGGTAAAGCCCAAGCTACCCATTCTCAGCCTTGAATCTCATTCAGGTATTACTGCCCCTTTCTCTACTCCCTTGGCGACACTAAAATACCAGTTAACAGAAGATTGGAATTACTGAAGATTATTCCTTTGGCATAATCTGTACCTTTTTCACATTATTACTCATTGAATCATTTGTTCTCCCCAAATTATTCTGCTGAAGTAATGCAGTTGGGGTCTAGTTTCACTTTAGTCCTGGTTAAATGTAACTACAGTAGGTTGTTTTGGTGCTGTGGCTTGGGTACCGTACCTCTTACACATCAAACATGATTTCTGGTTTGTTTTATAGCAGTCATCTTTTTCCTCCGCTCTACACCTTCAGTAAAATGAGTGATGGAACATACCTGCTGCTGGATTGCTTGACCTGCAAATGACTTAAAATAAAGCAGCTTGTGTCTCTCGCTGATGCTTTGATATATAAAAGGCCAAATTTTGGGCTTTTTGCATTTACCTTTTAGAACTATCAGGGAAAGGAACTGACTTGCTGGTGGACAGCTGGCAAGTCTGATTTATGCTCAAAGAGCATGGTTGAAGGGTGTGTTTGAGTCTCCAACATTCCGGTGGGGAGGAGAAGCTTGTTAGTCCCTGAAGTTCATTGCCTGAGCAAAGCAATGCCGGACACTCAACTTCACAGTGTTTGTATGTCTAGTTGTCTATAAATCAAAGAAACACATGGGGCAGCCATTACTACCTTCCAGCAGAACACCCCCCTACCAGCTCTGCCTGTTGTCTAATAGTTTAAAATGTTGCCACCCTGACTTATTTCCCCTAGAGACAGGCACTAATGATGGGGAAGAGAAGCATGGTGAGGAAGGGGGAATGGCCGGGCCCACAGAGCTCCTGGCATGGAGGTGTGCAGGGAATCCCTGAAGTCGGCAGGCATGGGAGGGTGGTACCCAACGAGAGGGGCAGGGATGATGTAATGAGCTCTGCTTACAGAAACAATGCAGTGTATTGCCCCCTTCTGTAACAAGCCCTCTTCCCTTCCAACAACTCAGCTGTCTCTCTGTGGGTGCTTCTGTTCTCTGGCTCTCCAGTAATGCTGGCAGTCTAGACACAGGACCTCCATTTCTAAGGGGAAAGCAGATGGTTTGAAAGTAGCTCAGGCCTTTAGCCATCAAAACACCAGACTCACAAGCCAAATAGTTTCCTTCACTGGTCACCTTTTGTAGTTGTGAATTCTACATATTAGCTCCCAGTGTGAATGGTGGCTGCTCGTGCAACCTGCAGTACCTTTCAGGTCTCTATTTGAGATGTAAGATTGATCCTTCCCTTCCAAGGTGCAACTTCGAAACCACTCCTTCCCCCTCTTGCACTGGGGGCACTACCATAGCAGGAACAGGAAATGTTGAGTTCCCTTGGGTTCTTCACTGCTTCAGGTTTTGTTTCCTGGGGTTCTAGTTGGCTGTAGCCATACCAAATAACATTTCTTAAATGGTATCTTCTCTGTTCCCCAGGTCTGCCTAGAGAAGGACAGCTAAACGGCTCTTCTACAGCCCACACTGAAATCAAAGGTATGGAACTTACTTACATAGCTCGAGAGAGATCATGGCAAAACTGATAATCCATTTGTCTAACCTGGGGGCATGTCCAGAGGGGGGTATCCCAAAGGTGCTAAGGGTAGCTGCTGCTTGTGCATGGAGGAATGAGTAGTGGCAGCTTTGAGATGTGCCAGTAATGCTGGATCTGAAAACAGTAATTCAAAACAAACCGTCTATCTTCCTCAACTAACTGACGGAGGGATGGAATTGAAAGCAGCTTTCACTGAAGGTTAGCCAGGGACACAGATCAAAAAGCAGCTTTAAATGCTGCTTGCACCTAGTCACAAATTAACACTCATGCAGAAGGGAGCATCTGCTCCTCTTCCACCTTCCAGGGGCTACAGCTGATCACTGCTACTGGTAGGTGCTGTGAGCAGTTTAATTAGGATGAATTAAATACTGTCCTAGACCTGTTTGAAAGGATATTTTAACTTTTACAGAGGGTGCAGCACCTGAGCCTCTGTCCTTGCAGCTCAACTGATTGTGCTACTGGTTAATCTGAGTTAGACCCTGGCACCTACTGCACTGACCTGTGAAACTCAGTCAGAATGAAGAATCTCCCCATTTCAGTAGCTGGTTCTTAAGCAACTGGGATTCAGCTGTGATCCTGCCACTCTTTAGCCAGCTAGAAACTACCAGACTTCACGTTGGTAGGTCCTGGCTGGTGAAGCCGACTTGTGGTTTACACAGCAGCTGTGATATCGTCTCTCTCAAGGTTGCAGACTCTGCGAGGAGAGTTTCTCTCCCTCTGAGCAGCAGCACCCTGGGCAGTTTCATACCTTGTACTTTTGTATTCTGTACATTTCAGTGAAATGAAACTTGCAGTTTTTATTACTTGAAGCTCTAGTTTTCTAGTTCTTTCTTTATACTGTACAGTATTTTGTACTTTGAAGGTGTATTAAAAGCCTGCTTCACTTAGCTGCTTTGGTTTGATTCATTTGATTAGGGTGCACGCTGTCTGTATCGACGGGGGCCATGCCGCTAGCTCAGTTTACAATAGGGCTGAAGGGACAAATACACTAAATGGTTAGCTTGCTCTAGGTTATGTTCTTGCCTATGCTGGTCAGGCATTGTGTCCCTCCAGCAAGAGAAACAACATGTGTAAGGTAACTATATAGACACCACTCAACTTATTTATGAAATTTATTTTTATATAAATTATGTATTTCTTTTAGCAGACAGCATTCAATTTATTGCACTATAGCACATCTGCAATACAGAGCTACAAGACATCTTAAGAGTTTTGTATTATTCAATGTAGCACTTTAGACCAGGATCTCTAGAGGCACTCAGAAGGGAGGGAGAAGGGGGGCAGGAAAGCAGCAAGCAGCCAGCATTGTCTTCCACTAACGTTTCCTTTCCCTAGCTGGTTATTAGAGGCAGAAGCTAATGCTGTAGGGACAGCAGGCAAGAGTTCTGGTAGCATCAGTTTGATCCTCAAGACTGGTGAGAAGGAGGCATGTGGAAACAGCTGGAAATAGTGGAAACAGCTTCTGAGGAAGGAAGGGGGTCTTGCAGTACAGAAACCAGCTCTATCCTATACCCTAAGGCAGTGCAGCTTGCCAGAATCCAGGCCATGCTCTTGCAGCTCAGATGGAGATACAGCTCCTAGCAATTAACCGTTCCTGCCTGGGGGGGGAAGTCTGCTTGCCATGAGCTGTAGTGACCCTAGGCAGCCCTGCTTTAGGAGTCCCATGACAATGGAACTAGGGACCTTAAGGCAACTTCAGCATTTTCCCTATAGGCCCCTGCTTGACAAGCACAGAGGAGTAGACTTACTATTTTTGGTTTATCAACTTTGGTGAGCTGCCATGGTCACAGCTAGCAGCGAGTATTAATCAGGTTGGCGACACAAACTGCCACGAAGCAGCATCTATTTCTGCTCTATGGAATGTGCAAAGCTAGCCTTAGAGCTCAGCAGAGGATCAGCCCCTCGACTGGGACACTTATACTCTTGGATCCCACTAAGTCTAAAAATCCAGATTGGCTCATAGGATCAAGAATACCGTTAACAAACCAAATAGTCCATAGATGCTTAGTGGCAGAGCAGCCCTGAAGTGCTGCAGCTCTTAAACACCCCTCACAAGATATGAACAATACAAAGCTCTAATTTCAGCCTCTACAAAGCATGGAGGCTGAGTCACTTAGAATGAAGGAATCCAGGGGGATGGGCTTTCACTGGCTGAAGGCCACAGAGCTGATCTGGCCCAGGTGTTCCACCTGAAGGAGACAATTGCTTCCCAAAAATAAGCTTTATAGCCAATAAATATGGAAGAAGTGTAGCTAAACAGAGTAAGCAACATGATTGAAGACAGCAACCTCCTTCCAAGGTTAAAGTCATGCATCAGGTGAAGGGAAGGGTGTGCACTGGTGAAAACCATGAGGAAGTATTCAAGCAAGTAGTGGATGCAGCAGCCCCTTGCTCTGTTATCCCTTCATTCTGTTTCGCACTACACTGAAAAGACAAGTCAGTCACATTGTAAAGCACGTTCTTCTGAGACATCTGCAAACAGCAATTTGGTGCAATAATTGGATTTTAGGCCTTCATGAGAGCGGTGACCACAGCCTTGGCATTAAGGCTACGCAGGTCACAGTAGGTTTGTCCAGTACCAACAAACACGATTGGCTTGCTAGTGATGTAAGTCATGGAGATTGCAGCACCAACCTGTGGAAGAAAGATCATCAATTAGTTGGTTTGAGGGGATCTGCTGAACAGGACTCTGCCTGAATGTACAACCCACTCCTAACAAAACCATCGTGTGATTGGCTAGAGCAGAAGCCTGTATGCTGGGCATGTTGAATTTCCATTAGTGTTACAGCAAGTTGGAAGGGAGTTCTTCTGATAGACCAGAGAACTTAAGGGGCTGACAGCCAGGAATTCGAGTTAAGGTTCTAAACAACCTGAACTCCCTCTCCACCCCATGGGATAGGATAAATCAAAGCAACTCTGGAAAGTCAGTCTCTGCTGCAAGAAAGACTCCTGTGTCCAACTGGGAGACCAGTTTGCTTAGATTAGCTAGGGAAGTGTCTCAGGTATCAGGCAGAGTTCCATTGCAAATGGAGGGAGCGTTTTACTACACAGAGAAGGGACAATGGTTCCTTGAATAGCCAGGTGAACTGGAGCAGGGTCTAGCTGAATCTGAGTGGTATGCAAGAAGATGGTGTGACTGTTTTAACTAGATGAGGTGTGGCAGCTTAATGTTAGGATTGCCAGTCAACTAAACTTCAAGGTGCCACGTTTGTAGCTTTAGAATACAATGGCCTAATTGCTGTACAAAGGTATTATAGTGCCTAGGAATTTCTTTAAACTGTGTTCACAAGTCTGAGGGAGTTGCCAGTCAATCAGCACTTCCATAATCTCACACTGAACAGAGCACAAGTTCTAAAGCTGATACCTGGAGCTAAATAAACAGCCTACGGGACAGACCTTAAAGCAGCTGCTTATCTTCCTGGGCCACAACAGTTCAGAGCTCTGAAGGGAAACAGTCTTTCAAAGTCAATAGTTGATTTGGCAGGGAACCAGAGCAAAGATGTAGCACTTAAGCAAATGTACAGTGCAGCTGAAATCTACGTGGGGCAGAGGACAACACCCAATTTTTACCATACATGGACTCCCCCACCAGGCAGTGGTACTATGCCAAAACAATCAGTGCTGGTGTCTGATTCTTGCCTACAATCCAGGCAGGGAGGAGCTGCCATGACAGACACCAGCATGGAATCCCACTGGGAAGGGCAGCTCATCCCTCTGATTCTACCATGAAAGGGGGTGCAGTGATGGCCAGGCACCCCTGCAGGAAGTCAGGCTTGTTGGTGGTGTGGCTCTGCATCATCTGTCAGAACTAAATGGTGTGATAAGGCTCCCCAAGGCTGCAGAGGGCTTCTGGGAAACAGACTGATCAAACCACCTGAAACTTCACTGGAACAGGGCAAAACACTGAGCTTGAACATTACCATGGAGGGTTCAAGCACATCCTGGTGTAACTCAGGGAAGCAGCTTTCATAGAATATCAGGGTTGGAAGGGACCTCAGGAGGTCATCTAGTCCAACCCCCTGCTCAAAGCAGGACCGATCCCCAGACAGATTTTTGTCCCAGATTCCTAAATGGCCCCCTCAAGGATTGAACTCACAACCCTGGGTTTAGCAGGCCAATGCTCAAACCACTGAGCTATCCCTCCCTCACTCTTCACTTTCAGCAGGCTTGGGAATTGCTGTGCCAGCCCCAGAATTGGTAGCGGTTGTGCAGGCTTCACCCCCGGACTGCCCCGTAAGCTCCAGAGCTAGGGGAAGAGTCAAGTTATTGTGCCCAGTGGTAGTGCCCACAGTTTGAGGATGTTGATAAATTGGAGACGGTTCAGAGTAGAGCCACAAGAAGAGCAATTAAAGGACTAGACCCCTGCCTTATACTGATTGTCTCGAGCTGCTCAATCTCTCTAGTTTAACAAAGAGATGGTTACAGAGTGACTTGATCGCAGTCTAAGTACTTACAAGGGGAACCAACCATTGATAATGGGCTCTTCAATCTAGCAGGGAAAGGTCTAACACAATTGAATGGCCAGCACTCAAAGCTGACAAATTCAGACTGGAAATAAGGAGTACACTTAACCGTGAGGGGAATTAGCCACTGGAATAACTCACCATGGTTTGTGGTGGATTCTCCATAACTAGAAATTTTTTTAATCAAGATGAGATGTTTTTCTAAAAGATCTGCTCTAGTTCAAACAGGAATTACTTTAGGGAAGTCCTCTGGCCTCTGTTATGCAGGTCACAGACGGTCACAATGGCCTCTTGGGCTTTAAGCTGTAAGTTTTCATATTGACCCAGCAGTTGTACTAATAGTAGGAAATTGAAAGCTCCAGTGTGAACAGTCAGAAGGGCCAGCAAAAGTAATGACCTGGTCATTTCTGACCTTAATTTCTTTTCAACTAATTACAGATGTGGATGGCTCAGCATAAAATGAACCATCCCCTGCCTTCCCTACCACCTTTTCAATGGAACTGTAGCAGTGACAACTGAAGCAAGGCTCTTAGTTCCCAACTGAGCCATGTTTGTGAAGTCCAGCACTGACACTAATAATTGTCAGAATCAGATACCGTTTGCTTAGGTCAGCCACCTCAAAGTTCAGAGGGCTCAAACATCTCTCCAGCAACTATCCCCTGCCTGGAAGAACAATGACACTTTGCCTTTCCAAACCCCCTGCTGCTAGGTAACACTAGCTGGAACTGGTGTGGAGAGTAAACCTTTTGAGCCAGTGAAGGTTTTTATACTTAACACACCAGTCCAGGGGAAAAAAGAGAGAAACAGGCATGCAATGGGCACCCTCTGAGGCCAGCACCTTCTCAGGACTATGCTGACATCCTCCACAGCCTGTACAGTTGAACTGCTGCCATCAATAGGACATTTGAGAGTGCAAGAGGTTTTTATGCTGTAAGTTGTGCTGAGCTAAGGCAGTTTTCCCTTAGACAGATTTAGAGCAGCTTTAATTTGCCTCAAGTTTTGGAGTTTGTTTTGGTTTGTAGTAGTACTGATCTGCACTAGGATTCCCTGGTGGGCCATTTGTGTCTTGCTTGTTACAGCCCTTCTAAAGCGCTCTCTGTTGGGGAGCAATCGGAATAGCTTCAATTTAGACGACCAAACATTCAGATCTACAATAAAGATTCCACTTGCCCTGGTGCAATATTGTGATATTATCCAGCAGTCACCACCCACCCCAAAGTAGAACATGAAGTCATTAAACTACCGTATATACTCGTTCATTAGCCCTTTTGTTTATAAGCTGCCCCCCAATAGCAAAAACTGTATGACCCTTTCATAAGCTGACCCTGTATTTCAGGGGTTGGAAAACTTTGGCTCCCGGCTCGTCAGGGTAAGCCGCTGGCGGGTGAGGATGTTTTGTTTACTTGGAGCGTCTGCAGGCATGG